CCTCTCAGCTTTAAGACTAGGGGAAAAAAAAAAAAAAGACTAAGGGAAAAAGAGAAGAGTATTTCTTCCTATTAACTCTTGCCAAGTCCTAGAGCTATAACTGGATCATCTTAGGTAAACTACTGACATTTGAACCTATAGCTATGGCTTAGGAAAAAAAAACGTGCAGTTGACCCGGGCCTGTGTCACCCATCCTGCTCCTGAGTGGAAGATGAAATCCAAAAGGAAATTTAGTGTACTATTACCAGTAAAAGGGGGTGAAAAATTCTGGGAGGCCAAAATGACAAATGTCCAGGACAGGTTTCTCTCCAGGGTAGACATGCTCATGATGACCTAGCTTGGAAGTCCTAAAGGTTTTTTCATACTTGACACACTCATAGGGTTTCTTTGTAGTATGGCTTCTTTGATGCTGAAGAAGACTTCTTCTGCTAGTGAAGACTTTTCCACACTCATCACATAAATATGAAGACTCCTGAATATGGATCCTTAGATGCCTTTTTAATTGTTCCTGAGCACTAAAGGCTTTTCCACAATCTATACAGTCAAAGGGTTTCTCTTCACTGTGGACTCTCTGGTGCTGAGTTAGTTTTGTATGAAAATTAAAGGCCTGCCCACAAATTTTACAAGAATAAGGCTTTTCCCCTGTGTGAATACGTAGATGTTGGCTTAGATGGGAAGTCCTTCCAAAGCTTTTGCCACACTCCTTACACTCATAGGGTTTCTCTCCAGTGTGAATTTTCTGATGTCGAAGTAGTGGTGAATTACCAACAAAAGCTTTTCCACACTTATTACACTCATAAGGTTTCTCCCCAGTGTGGATTCTCTGATGTCTAACAAACTCAGAACTAGTGGTAAAACGGTTTCCACACACTCCACAGAGATAGGGCCTGTCCCCACTGTGGATTCTCTGATGCCTGATCAGATTTGCATTATCATTAAAGGCTCTCCCACACTCTTCACATTTATAGGGTTTCTCTCCAGTGTGGATTCTCTGGTGCCGAATTAATGAAGAATTGCCATTAAAGGCTTTTCCACACTCATTACACTCAAAGGGTTTCTCCCCAGTATGGATTCTCTGGTGTCTAACATAGTGAGAAAAATAACTGAAGCATTTCCCACACTCCTCACATCTGAACGTTTTCCTTGCACAGTGGATTCTTGGAACATTTCCTTTAATATTTTTCACTGTGGGAATTTCCTGGTGCTTTTGTAGTTCACAGGTTTCTAGAAAGTTGGTTCCCTGAACAACATTCTTCTGCAAACCATGTGACAACATCACATCTCTTTCTTCAGAAATTCCCTGTGTTGATGTGGGTTCATTGTCAACGTTGGTCTCAGTATCTAATACAGCAGAAAACACAAATGCCACCTGAGAATTATGCTACAAACAAAAGAGCATAAAAAATGAGAGGGCCTTTAGAGATTACTATTGCAACCTCCACATCAGACTGCTAGCAACACCAGGATACTAAAATGAAAGTGCCAAACATCACACAGAATAGTCAAGGAGAAACAGGGTATCGGTATACACAGCACATATCAGATTGCTTCCTAAGCTTTTCCAGACTCCATATTTTTTGAATGACTTCTCTCTGGTACATTCTAGTATCTTTTGACCTTAAGATATTCATAGGCCGACAAAACACCAAAGGCACAGGCCCTAAGATCAAGTGGTGACACTGGGCTGGCAAGACTCAGAGTCAGAAAGTACAATAGAACAGTCAGAATACAAAGATGGTTCTTTAAAAAAATTCATACCCTGCAAATGGCCCAAAAGCCTGGAAACACTGAGCATTACAGGCACTAGGCTGTGACAAGACACAAAGAGAAGATTACACTCAGAGGTTCCTAACTGTAGGACATCCCCCAGAGGTTGTTAACTTCAGGTCCACAGAAGACAATGAACTCGCTAAAACTGCTGGCAATTCCTGTCTTGTTATCAGACTCTCAGAAAAGTCTGAATCTCAAACATGCACAGACTTTATTTAGAAAGGGAAGAACAGAGTTTACTTAGATACACCAAAACTGTAGAGTATTTCTTCTCATTTTAGCAAAAAGAAAACAAACAGCCACCATAAAATGGTATTTGTGTTCCAAGACTGGATGCCCTTTTGCCTCACTTAAAGTCAATCTATTTTATATAAAATGTTGGGCTAATTTTAACATTAATCTGGGTTATCTGGGTTAATTGGCTCATTAATCAAGTTCATCCTTCAAGTGTGAGTCAAATGAGTAAGAGCCCTTGGAGAAAGGCAATGGGAGAAGAGACATTGGAGACTTAAGTCAACAGGGTAAGGTCTAGTCTGGAAGACAGTGATCGAGACAACTGGACCCGGTGATGGGCTCTCATACCACCTTCTTGTTACTAGGGTGCTCAGTTATAAAACCAGGACTGAGCAATCGATGACTTCTTTATTTTCCTGCTGCCCCATACTCTGCCATCATCTAGATCAGGATCCTCACAGCAAGTCTTCCAAGCAATCACCTTCCTAGGTCTCTAGCCATTACCCCCACCTTCCTGCTGAAAGAAAAAAGCTGCCCAGATGCAGTGCCGTCAACGTCACACCCACTCATCTCAAGCCATCCACTACCCTCTCAAGTCTCACGTTTCCCAATCATCCCTGATGCCGTCTCCTCCCTTCCCCTGCTACACTGCCCCCTACCAGATGTATCATCCCTCCTCTTCATCACCAACCTCTTTCTGCAGATCCTCAAATCTTGGGCTTATCAATCATCCCTTCACATCCAACTTTTTTTATAGTAGTGTTTTTCAAACTGCCTACCCATTAGTTGTGAAAGTGACACAGTATGTAACTATCAAACACTTTTTCAAATGAAATACACTAGCCTAACCTAGAACAGAATTCACATACATTGCAATGCCAAGGTACGTTTTATCTCTTGATAATCAAGTCTCAAAGTACATAATGAGTATACAGGGTTGTGATACAAAATCTAATACCTGCTGAAGCTCATAATAAAAAAAGAATTGGTATACTTATATTTAATTTTTTAAGATGTTATTTATTTATTCATGAGAGACAAAGAGAGAGAGGCAAAGACATAGGCAGAGGGAGAAGCAGGCTACGGAGAGCCCGATGTGGGACTCAAATCCTGATCCCAGGATCACATCCCACGCCAAAGGCAGACACTCAACCACTGAGCCACCCAGGTGTCCCTTTATTTCATTTCTAAACTTACCAAAATAAAGTTATCTAAAATGCTGCCTCAATTTCATCATCTCATTTACTCCTTCTCTATGAAGTATCCACCCTGAAACTCCTACCCTTGCCTTTAGTTCGTTGTTCCCTCTTGGGGACCCTCCTCTGCCTATATTCACTTCCCTCTTAGAATTAAGTATCCCTTAATATTTAAGATTCAGCCCCTTTTTCTCTCTAGGTGTCTTTTTTTTTTTTTTTAAGATTTTATTTATTTAATCATGAAAGACATAGCGACAGGCAGAGACACAGGCAAAGGGAGAAGCAGGCTCCATGCAGGGAGCCCAAGCAGGACAGGATCCCAGGACCCCAGGATCACTGCCTGAGCCAAAGGCAGATGCTCAACCACTGAGCCACCCAGGTGCCCCTCTGGGTGTCATTTCAATTAAAACTCTGGTAGAGTACACTCGCATCTACCCCTGTAGATCTGACATTAATCTCAGACTCTACACCTGTTTTCTCATGGCTTCTTCTGGCCATCCACTTATACATATTCTAAACGAACCTCAGATTCTGTGCTCAGATCTGAATTCACATGAATTTAAAAAGCTTCTTTTATGTCATGACTTCCCAGTATTATCTGACTCAACACTCCTCTTTGATGGTTAAGTTTTGGTAAGATCGGGTCTTTCCTCTTCCATTTTTGCAGTCACTGTCCCCTATCCAATTCCCTCACTCAAAAGTTAACACCTGACATATAGTAATAGTTTAACGAGATTCTATGCTTTCAATTTCCTTCAGCCCAATCCAAAGCACACACCATGATAATATTTTGCAAATACAATTAAATACGGGCCTATGTCGCTACAGGCAAGGTCACTGTGGCAGGGGTCACTGTTCCTGCTCCTTGTTTGCTTTTACCAGCTCTATCATTTCCTGTTCCCACGCCCTAAGTTCTTAGGATAGAGCCTTCAGGTCCACCACAAACTCTGCATTCTAGACTTTCCACACAAGGCTGGGTGGGTAAGATACACCAACTATATTATATTCTTCTAAACCACCTGAGTAAATGGGGTCAGGGTGTATTATAGACTCTGCCAGCCCCAGATTCCAGGAAGTCTTACTTGGGCTTTGAGTCCTAAGCTTCATGCTCTTCTACTGCTTACAGAAAAGACAAATACTTGTAGGTACTCCAGAAATATCCATTTTAAAATATGCTCCCCAGGCAACTATCCCTGAACATTAAACTGTAACATTCTTCCCAACAATTTATTGGATCCTCTACTCCTTTTCTTAGGCCAGATAATCTACCTTCTTTTTTTTCCACATGGGATCCATTGTCATAAGTCAAATTTGGAACATATAGCCTGCCATTGAAGGAGCTTACTTAAGGTTCTAAATGAGAATTTCTCCTCCTGCTGTGCTCCCACAGCCCACTACCTATATATCAACAACAGCACCTAACACACTTTTTTTTTTTTTTTAAAGCTCTTTACATCTGTCTCCATAGCATGTATCCTCCAGAGCTTCTTAAATAAAGCTTGGCACGTGTCAAGTGCTGAAAACTGCTTTTGAACAAATCCATCCTGTCCAAAGAACAAGAACCACTGAGATAGGAAATGCTGAAACTCAGAAAGGAGTAATGGATTCAAAAAATCACATGAAACTTACTAAAGGGAACTTGTTATCATGGTGACAGTTAAAATTAATGAGAAAGGTTTCATATTTTACTTGTTAAGAGAAATCATCCATTTTATTTAAATCCTTCCCAGCATGGTTCATTTTAAAACATACTGCTCTATACAGCTCCATAGTTGCCAGTTCTAAAGCTTCCTTGCTTACCTTTACAGATGCCTTTGGACCTCTCTGCAGATGGGTTATTCTGTGCCTCCAAGCCCCAAGGCAAATTCCCTCCCTCCAGAAGGGAGACCAGAGCAGGTCTGGGAACTGGGTATCCTGAAAGGGGAGAGAAAATGGCACCTTTCAGCTGTGTGTCTGCTGTATCAAAAGAAGGAAAACCCCAAGAACCTCCCTAAGAGTAAGATCCACAGAAGGCAGCTCAGGATTGGGGAAAGCCAAGATCTGATCAAGAAGGAATCGAGCATTTATGATCCCTTTCTACTTTAGAGTAATGTAAGTTAGTGAGATCCTATAAGACAAACGCAAACACAAAGAAGGGGTCACACCCTTCCCTACACAAGCTAAGATCTTAGCTCTGGTAACACAAACTATGTATTCCTTACTTGGCAGAGCCCCCTGGAGGTGGGACATACTCTTACCAGGGGACAGCAATTCCATACATGGTGACCAAACTGACCCAAGATCTCTCCATACCCATCAATCTTTGAAGTGGGTCATTTGGTCTCAGCCTTGGAGCCACAGAGTGGAGGATACCGGAGACAACCATTCCCTCCCATACTGCACAGTCTATTAGAAGAGAACAAGGAAGGAAACAGCAGAGAACAGAGCTGAGTTCCAGCAACCTTACCCAGGGATGTCAAGTTCCCATAATTCTCTAGCATCACACTTCTGTACAGGGACTTCTGTGCAGGAGAAAGTCCAGCCCATTCTGTCTGGGTGAAGTAGACAGCCACGTCCTTAAAGGTCACCAATTCCTAAAACAAGAGGTTCCTGCTGTCCCAGAGCCAATTCTCTGACTCAGGGACAGAGTGCAGAGCACAGGGGACAGTATGAGGGAGAGGTCCTTTTAGGGATGGCTAATGAGAAAAAATGAAGGAAATGGATGTTAGACCATTAAATGACTTTTTACAGCCAAATGTCTGACACTTCTCTGATGGAAGAGCTTTTATTAGGACACGAAATGTACTAATATAAAACATGGTAACGTTTCAAAAACCCTGGAAAATTTGCATTACTTAAACTTCCTAAAGCAAATTCTTTGGTTTTATAAATACTTTTAATCTTTCGTTGTTACACCTACAAATGGACATGAGCTTCAATCAGTTTAGACACCCACTCACAGGTGGCATGTCAGGAACCACCCATTCCCCCTTCACTGCCTCAGCACCCAGGTAATCCATCTGTATCCACACATGCCCATTCTGCCCCAAACCTCAAGCCCACTTAACAAGAACACATCGTGGTCTGATGAGCCAGTCTCATCCAACCCCCACCTCTGCTTGTACTCAAGAATGATCAGCAGAGAGAGCTTAGTGCCGCCCAGAGCAGTCATTTCTGAGAGACTTCCTGATGGGTCTTCCTAGGAGAATTTGCTCTTGGAATCAAATTGCTACTGGGCAGCTCTTTTAGCTGCTCTTCTGTATATCTCCAAGACAATCTATAATAGTTCCTATCAACCAAATTTCAAGATTTTTCACCAGCCCCTCCTTTCTCTTCTCTAACAGTCCCAGCTCTACCTTCCTAGAAAGTGCCAGCATCTTGTTTAGACCCTCTATCTACTCTTCAGACTTTGGTATCAAACTGGTTACCTAAACATGCAATGAATATCCTCCTACCTTCTAACGCCTCCATTGATGCTGCAGATCTCCATCTTCCACTAGTTCCAGCACTGCCTCAGACTGCCTGGTGACCTAACATGGCTGACCCACCAACTACACCAAACTTATCTTTCAACCAAAACTAACTTTTCTAAATCATATAAACTCATTGGCACTGACAATTTTGTTTCCCTATCTCAATTAATAGTATCAATTTCAGGGATCCCTGGGTGGCGCAGCGGTTTAGCGCCTGCCTTTGGCCCAGGGCGCGATCCTGGAGACCCGGGATCGAATCCCACGTCGGGCTCCCGGTGCATGGAGCCTGCTTCTCCCTCTGCCTGTGTCTCTGCCTCTCTCTCCCTCTCTCTCTGTGTGTGTGACTATCATAAATAAATAAAAATTAAAATATATATATATATATATATATATATATATATTAAAAAAAATAGTATCAATTTCAGCCCAGACTCCTACACTAGAACTTGAGATTCACCTAGACTAACTCACCCCAGGACCTGGTCATTTCTCATATGCAGTTGGTAATCAGATCCTGCCAGTTTCATTGCCTAAATATTTCTGGCATCTGACTCTTCTTCACCATCATACAATCAGTACACTAGCTCAACAGCTGGGAACACTTAAACAGCTCCAATTCCAGGCTGTCTTGCACTGAATCCATCCTCTGCCAACACATACAATGATCTGTTTAAAATGACAACATAACCCAATAAACTCAATGACTTAATGAGTCAGCACTAACTACAATAGTGGTTATCAAAGTGTATCCCTCTCCCAGCAGAAGCAGGAGGAGGAAGAGGAGGAGGAGGAGCAGCAACAGCAATACCTGAGAACTTTTTGGAAAGCAAACTGGTAGGCCCCACCTGAGAGCAATTTCTGCCTTAATGAGCCCTCCAGGTGATCCTGGACACACTAAAGTTTGAAAAGCCTGGACTACAGGATAAAATCAAAGCTCAGGAAACTGAGCTGCATCAGGTGATAAGTAGTGAGAGGGAGGCATGAGAGTATACATAGAGAAACTAGCTGGAATGCTCTGCCAACAAAATCCCAGAGAAAAAATGACGAAACCTGAATGATGACAACGTAAAATATGGGACAAGCCGAAGAGACAGCAAGCAGAAGTTGGACTTGGTGCCTCTCTAGAAGTGGTATCAAGGGAGATTGAGTCAACAACTCACCCGTACTTATAGAAGATCAGAAGAGGATGGAAGCTACAGGGAAGATACTGCATCAATTAAATTCAGGGAGAAGGACCTACCAAATGTCAGAAATCCAAGATTGGGGTTTGGGATATGGTTCATGGGTCCTAAGTTACTGGATAAATAAGTCCCAGTACGAGGAAATGGTAATCAGCACCTAGAAACTCCCTAGTCAAAAAGTGAACTACAACCCAAGAAATGAATTGGCCAGTCCCACAAATGCAAAGTACTTAACGTTCACTTACAGATAAAGTCCATCAAAATACAGAGTTCAAGTGATTGGCTCAAGACCACAGAGGCCTGATGGGATCCCTAAATTCAGATGTCCTGTCACAGAGCATATTTGTCCTGGTGCAGATTTTCCTCAACATAGCCTACTGGTGCCTCACCTTAGCCAGCAGCACTTACCTCAAGGGCGATATATCTGTCCTGATCATGGAGCCTAAGCTTCTTTCTTTAGGAGGACAAAGGCTAGAGGCCCCCTTTTCTTGTCTTCCTCCTGTTAGCTCCCTGCTCCCACCTCCCAAGAACCTTGCAACCTTAGTGATCTCAATCACTCCCATTGAACACTGGATACTTCTACCACCAGCCTGAGTCCCTCATTCTCACAGATCCCTTCATGAGAGTCCCTCCTGCACCTGGGAGCTCTCCAGTTCAGCAGAGATCCATGGAGAACAGGAGGCTGTACTTCTGATTTCTCGGACACTCTCTCCAGCCAATGTTTTCAGGGCTTCTAGCTGCTCAGCTCCTCACCATCAGCTTTCTCCCCAACATCTAGTCATACTGGAGACAATCAAGAGGTGCCTTCCTGCTGCTTTAGTTCCAAGAGTCTTGCCAGAATTATCCCTCTCATGCCCCATTTCCTTCAAATAAGATCTCTGAAGGCTAACCTGAGTCACAGCTCACCTGGTGCCAGGCATTCAGGGGCATGGCTGACATCACCTGGTCTCCCTCTCAGTGAAGGGCAGGAGCTGAGGGAAGAAGCAAAGAGAACCATGAGTGAGCCTGGCCCAGCCAAAGGCTCTCCTTTAAACCCAGAAACCTGTGGCAATAACAATAGCAGCCATCATTTACTCAATGCCCACTGGATAAGTGGCATATGTTTCTTCTTTCAACCCACACCATACAAGTTTGAATTTGGAAGAAACAGATTTTGAAAGGGTAAGTAACTTGCCCTCGGGCACCAGAGCCTACCACCATCAAGCAACGCTGCCTGTTCTGGGTAAGACATAAGTACGGGGGAATACACAAAGAGTAAAACAATACTAAAACCAAAACTAAACAAAACTAAAGCAAAACCTAACAAGAGGAAATCTAGATCTTTTTTCTTAAAAATAAACGTTTGGAACACCTGGGGGGCTCAGCCGGCTAAGCATCTGACTCTTGATTTCAGCTCAGGTCATGATCTAGGTGTCGAGGTATCCAGCTTCACATTGGGTTCCCTGCTTGGTGGAGTCCACTTGTCCCTTTCCCCCTGCTCCTCCTCTTGTGCTCTGTCAAATAAACAAATGAAATTAAACAAAACTTCTACTGAGAAACATAAAAAGTAAAAAAAAAAAACAAAAACATAAATATATAGATATAGGTTATTGGATGTAAAATACATATCCCTTCATTCAGTGTCCACTTTCATCCTCTGAATTTTCTTTCTCCCAAATGAGAAAACAAGGCTATGAGAATAATTTTCTTCAAGGTCACAAGGTGGTGGATGAACCTGGATTCCAACCAGATGTGCCAGATTCCAAAGGCCACGTTTTTAGTTAACTACACTAGATCGCTTCCAATCATAATCCCAAAAGGATCTCTTAGAACCTGATAAAGTAATTCTGAGGTTCACATGGGGAGAGCTGTCACCAAGGAAGTTCAGATAAAGAATCACAGAGTAAGTCTTCCTTTTCTTGGATCTCAAGGCAGGCATCTTGTTGTTCACCACTCTGTTCTAGGACCCAGCGATGACCAAAACTGATTAGCAAAGGGCCCGGAAAGGCCACCTCAGCACGCCCAAATGCTGGGTTGTTACTTTAATTACATCGTCCCCCAGGACAGTTTTCTTGCTAAGCAGTCACATTCTGTCCCAAGGCCAGCATCTTCCCTAACCTCACTGCACTCTGTAACCTCCTGCTAGCCTCATCTGCCACCCTCCTGTTTAGCCACTCTGGCCTCCCTTCAGTTCCCTGTACTACGGAACTCAGGGCCTTTGTGCTTGCTGTTGCCTCTGTATGAACTACTCTTCTCCAACCCCAGGACCTCTGTAACTGATACGGTCTGCCTACAATACTCTCCTGCAGCCTGCCCCTTCCTCCCCTCGGTGATGCTAGATCATCCTTCAGATCATCCTCTACAAACCAGGTAGACGTTTCCCGTTAAACCCTCCACTCACACGGTGTTCGCTGTCCTGTAGACCACGTCTCCAAGTCTGAGAGGATGTATTTGCATTAGTCTGTGCTTTCTCCACCCAACAAACATTTGCCAGATACTTCATTCATTCCAGGCCAAGCGTGAGATACGGTGGAGAGAGGAAAAACGGGTGTGACCTTCTGGCGTGGAGCTTTGTCTAGAAGAAAGGAAAGGCGCACGTTAATCGGAGATTCTCGTAAGCGACTTCAAGGTCACAACTGTGATTACCGTAGACGGGACGACTCAGGGGTAGGAACTGACTGGCTTAACCACGCATGCCGTGGAGGTGGAAAGCCAAGGCTGTAGCACAGCCGAGACGGCGTGCCGCCAAGCGACGGCGGAGTCGCCGCACAGGATGAAGCCATGCGGGCATCTGCGCGCACGTACAGGTTGGTCTTCCGCCGAAAAACCACAGCCGCAGCTACCGGGTTACAAACGGGCGGAGTGAAGCGATCAGATTTGATTACGAGGTGACGTTCCCGTTGGACTGAAAGCTCCCCGAGGGGGGCCGACGCTCGTCTCCTTTAGGGCCGCATCCAGGGGCCCAGGGCAGCGGCCGTCCCTCAGCTGTTGGCTAAGCAGCGACCGGCCGGACCCGGGCCCGCGGCGCATCTCCTTTCCATCCGCAGCCTCCCTGCCCCAACGCGGCCTCCCCCCACCGCGGCTTCAGGGACGCGGCGGCAGCTCCTGGAAGGGCGCAGCGCGCGCCCCCCGCACACACCACGCGCCGCCGGAGCCCCCAGCTCACCTCCGGAAAGGCGCAGCGCGCGGCGGGACCGGAAGTGCGTCACCGCGCGGGAGCGCCGCCCGAGCCTCCCGTACGTCCTCTCTAGGACGCCGAGCGCGCCTCGGTGCTCTGCGGGCTGCGCGCCCCGGGGAGGCCGGCGGGGCTCCTGCACCCCCGCCCGGGAGACCTGGAACGGCGGGGGAAGTTGGCGGTGGTTGTCGCTGCGCTCTAACCGGTAGCCTTCTCTTCAGTTCAGTGTTGGCAACAAGCCGCGGTACTATCGGGAGCACCTGTGGATTGTCCCCAGTGGAAAGCACATTTTCTTTTTTTTTTTTAATCATTATTTTAAAAGATTGATTGATTGATTAATTGATGATAGACACACACACAGAGAGAGAGAGAGAGAGAGAGAGAGGCAGAGACACAGGCAGAGGGAGGGAGAAGCAGGCTCCATGCAGGGAGCCCGACGCGGGACTCGATCCCGGGACCCCGGGATCACGCCTTGGGCCGAAGGTGGTGCTAAACCGCTGAGCCACCCGGGTGTCCCCAGATATTTTCATTTATCGCTCCACAGTTGACGCAGGTTTCTCAAAATACACGCTATTCACATCCCTCATTTGAAAGTATTATCATCGTTGTTATTAGGGCTCACCTTTGGATCTTGTCATTTCATTTCACCAAAGTGGCAAAAACACACGTATATTAACATGTCACAGTTTTTTAATTGTTTTTTAAGGTTTTATTTATTCATGAGAGACACAGGGAGCGAGGCAGAGATATAGGCAGAGGGAGGAGCAGGCTCCCTGTGGGGAGCTCTATCCCAGGACCCCGGGATCACGGGATCACGGCCTGAGCCAAAGGCTGACCCTCAACCACAGAGCCACCCAGGTGCCACTCACAATTTTATTTTTTAAAACACTTTATTGTATTTTGATAGAATTAGTTTCAGAGTGGTCCACAGATGTCCTCACAATGCCAAAGAGGCAGTCAGGCAAAAAACAAACAAAAAACCCTGTCTCTTTATAAATGAATGAATGAATGAATGAATGAATGAATGAATACTTAAAAAGAAAGAAAAAAACCTGTTTTCCTGAGGGATAAAGATCCAGTCACATTAAGAAAGACCAGGACTGTGAAGGGATACTATTCCAGAACTATTTAGGAAATGAAAACAGCGGAGATTTTTTAAAAGACTGAATAACAGATATGAGAGACAGGGAGCAATCTACTATAGCCATGAAGTTTGAGCGACCTGATAGATGAAGGTGTCACTAACGGAGATTCGGTTAATTCAGGAATTTAGGAAGAGGAGCTGGTTTCAGGCAGGAAGATCACAGAATTTGGTTTTAGAAATTACACACACACACACACACACACACACACACAAACACACTTGCTTTATTAAAATGTAATTCACATCCCATACGATTCATCCATTTAAAGTAAACAACTTAGTTTAGTTTTTGGTATATTCACAGAATCGCACAACCATCACCACAGTCAATTTAGAATATTTCCATCATTCCCAAAAAGAAACCCTGTAACTATCAGCACCAGGGCTCACTTGCCATCTTCCCTGTGATAGGCCGGATACTGTTCCCCTCAAATATGTCTGGAATTCATATGTTGGATTTCATGACAAAGGAACATGAAGGTTACAGACGGAATTAAGTCGCTTATCAGCTGATTTGAAAATAAGATTATCCTGGATTATCTAGATGAGCCCAGTGCAATCATAAGAGTCCTTATAAGTAATGGAGGTCATGAGAAGAGCCACAGAGGTGACAAATTGAGAGAAACTTGTCCCATCATTGCTGGCTTTGAAGGTGGAGGAAAAGCGCCACAAATCACAACAAGTGGCTTCTAGAAACTGGAAAAGGCAAGAAAATTAATTAAGTCTCTCCTTAGCCAACACTTTGAATTTAGCCTGGTGAAACCCATTTTGGACTTCTGACTTCTAGAACTATAAGATAAATTAATAAGTAAATTGAATAAATGTGTGTTGTCTTGTAAGTCACTGTTCGTGATAATTTGTTACAGCAGCAACAGAAAATTAATACAATCCCTGTGTGAGGCCTTCCTCCATTCCTAGACAACTACTGATCTACTTTCTGACTCTACAGACTTGCATATTCTGGGCACTTACATCATATAATATCCATTAAATCTGGACATAAAGCAAAGATCTTTATTGTTGGCCATTTTATTAGTCTTTGGAATAATGGAAACCTATGTGATCCCTGGCAAGACTTGGGAAGAGCTTGATTTTTTTTTTGCTTGGGAGGGGTTGCTATACTTTTAATCTGCACAAACCCTCAACAACAACAACAACAACAACAACAACAACAAAAGACTATCCCAGTGAGGAGAAATGTCTCAGTTATCTCTGGTAAGTGATCACTCCAAGCAGAGAAGCAGTGAAATTTGAGATGTGGTGTTCTTTTTTGTTTGTATATATATAAACATTTGGAATTTTATTTAAACAAAAATCACAACCATGAACATTGTTACAGTTAGAGGCCCTCTTGGTTCTCCACAATGATACTGAGCACCCTCACACGGGCTTCCCATTGTTTAGTCTTTAAGCAACCATCTTTAAAAGAAGGAAAAGAAACTCAGCACACTACCATTTAACTTGTTTTAATGTTTCTTCACAAATGGTGAAAAGTACTAAAGTACAGACAAGGAATAATCATAATGTTGTGGCCACCATTATAAATATGGAATTATAAATTTAAAACATTTTCTGGTTTAAAAAATAAATCTCGTAGTCAAGGCAGCTCTGTGGGGTCTCTGCATCTAGTAGGGCCAGTCTCTGCTCACCTTTATCCATTTTCCAGGTCCTCCGCGCCCGCCTCTTCTTCCTCCCATCTATTCCATCTCAGGTCCAGGGGGCCCACCAGGACCACCTTGTCTTCCTCCGCCACAGCCACCTGGGTCCATGCCCCGGCCACCACGGAAGCCTCCTCTGTCTCAGGTCACCTCTGAACACCCCACCCGGACCCCCTTGGTCCACGAGGCCACCTCTTCCTCCCCGCATGCCACCAGGGCCGCCTCTGTCCCGGTCACCACCCAGGGGCGGGAAGGGTGGTGGAAGGAAGCCTTCAGGCTTCAGAGCCTTACACTGGTTGCATTCTGTTCTCCAGGCAAAGTTCTGGTTTCCACACCCCAGATTGGGGCGCTGCCAGTCCTTAGCTTGGTGCTGGACGTTTCCTCCTCCAGATGGGCTCCCTTGGGAACCCTAGGGTCCTCCTAGGGGAGAGCCACCTCTGTCTCCTCCATGGCCTCCCATGTGACCCATGGGGCCCCCAGGACCTCCTGGGCCCCCTGGACCTCCATGGAGTGGCGGTGGCATCCCTCTGCCTTCACGGGGAGGCATACCACCCCACATGCTGTTCGTTGGAGACCTATTCCGAGCAAGAGAAACCTTAAGTTTGCTCCCTTGAAAATCTTTCCCATCAAACAACTCCACAGCAGCCTTGGCAGTTGGTGGATCTTCATAGGACACTGTAGCATCACTTTTGGGTTTTCCTGTTTCCTTGTCCAAGTAGATATGGATCATGGGTTGTCCGGTTCTCTTGCTCATCTTAACAACTCCACACTGCTTAAAGAAGACTGCCGGATTGTCTAGAGTCACAGTGTCATTTAAGCCTTGCACATAAATTACACTGTTGTCAGAATCTTCATCTGGATCTATAGGTGGGCCTAGATCAAGATCTGGTCCTTCATCCATGGGTCCACCAGGCTTATTGAAGCCACCTCACTCTCCCGTGCCCATTCCACTGAGTCCTCCTCCCCTCCCACCTCTGCTCATGCCTCCCCAATCAAATCCCCCTCTTCCCCTGCCCCGGTTATCAGGGCCACTCATGTTCTGGTTCTCTTCTGGTCCAGAAAATCCTCCAGACTCCTGCCCATAAACACCCATGCTACTGGGGTGGTCCTGTTGGAATGAACTCTGCTGCCCGTAGCTGCTGCTCTGTTGGCTATATTGACTTGGAGCCTAGCTGTAGGATCCAGTTTGGAGGGGACAACTAGTGGGCAGCTGCTGCCCATAGCTGCTTTGTTGGCCATAGCTACTCTGCTGTCCATAGCTGCTCGGCTGCCCATAGGTAGCCGAGAGTAACTGCTGAGAGTAACTGCTCTGATCATAACTAGTTGGCTGTGTAGAGGAGTAGCTGGTAGGAGGATAAGATGGTGGTGCTGTGACTGGCTGCATGGGGTAGCTCCCAGGTACCTGGGGATAACTGGATAACTGTAGTTACTCTGTCCATATCCTAGGCTGGGCTGGTTGTAACCCCCTGTTCTAGATTGAGGTTGACTAGTCTCAGCGGGTTTGTTACCGGTCTTGCAGGTGTGGTGGCTGCTGGCTGCTGCCCATAGGCTGGGTAAGCAGGCTGAGTGCCATATGCAGACTGAGCGGCATAGGAGGCCTGAATAGTAGTGAGCGTAGCAGTGATGGTATCATAAGAACCAGTGCCGTACCCCTGGACAGGCTGACTGTATGCTTGGGGGGCAGTTGGAATAGTATAACCAGCAGGACGCTGTCCATAAGAAGTTGCCTAGGTGGTCTGCCCATAGGTCGCAGCGGTCTGAGCCTGGTTATAGCTGATATCAGTGAGCTGTCCACAGGTTCCATAACTTTGCTGCCCATATGCCTGGGTGGCCTGTGCATATCCTTGAGTTGGTTGGGCAGTGTATGCACTGTAGCCCTGGTAGGCTGCAGCTTGGCTGTAGGTACTATAATCCGTGGACGCCATCTTCTCTCCTTCCTTCTCGTTCTCTCACGGTCTGTCTCCCTCTCGCCTTCCCTCTAGGCACCCTTGAGATGTGTTTTGAAGTCCTTTGGACAAACTACATACTGCGGCACCTTTCAACCCTGGCCATAATGACCATTAGCAGATTCCTCCTAGCAAGGCTTGAACTTAAGTGCCCTGTTTCTCCATGATATTTTATTTATTTTTATGTAAGGTTTTTTTTTTTTCCTTCAAATCATTTAGTAAATAGAGCA